CTAATGCAATGAAATTTGTAATGATCAATAATATTTTAATTTGTTATACAACAGGCTACTATCGCGTTAATTATGATCTAACAATGTGGCAAAGAATCGCCTATTATTTAAATTCTGGCAATTATAAAAACATACATGTTCTGAATCGTGCTCAAATTCTCGACGATGCATTTTATTTTGCAATAGAAGAGAAATCTATAAATTTGTCTACATTTTGGAATCTTAGTAATTACTTATCGCAAGAGATAGATTATATAGTATGGTACCCTATGATCAAAGCTTTTGAATATTTGTCAATTTATATTCCATTTTCGGAAATTGGACTTGAGGTATATAATAAATTTCGTCAATGAAACATGTTGACATTTAATATGTTTTATAAACATTATAATATCAGTTGTTTCTATTGCTACGTTTGTCGTAAATTAATAATTTAAAGTTATTATCAAAAATCATATAATTTTTTTTAAATGATAATTTTAAATAACAACAAATTAATCTGCTATCTAAAATAGTAATTATCTAAAATAGATGTGTGTATAATAATTATAGTTTATAATATCATAATAAAAATTCGGATATAGACGTTATTAGCGCTGTTTGTGTCATTCTATTTTCATTAATAATAATAATTATATTAGGATTCTCGAATTTTACACAATATAAAAAGATAAATATAGTAGACTAATGAGAGTCAGCAATGATAATTGATTGCACTTAATAATTTTTAGGAAAAGATGCGTAGAATTTTGCCTACACTTTTTAAGAAGATAGGGTACCAAGAAATTTCTAACGAGCATGATCTTACTAAATGTTTAAGACAAGAAATTGCAAAATGGGCATGTGTTCTCGGTGATTCTGATTGCAGAAATAATGCCAAATCTAAACTAGAATGGCATTTTGCCAATCCTGAAAAGCATAAGTATATATAAGGAATAGTTCTAATAATTTTTAAATCTTAAATTTTTTTTATATGTTGCACTTCGCATTTGATAAGTCTTATACAAAATAAGTTATTTATCTATAAGTTATAAGTTTATTATCTTTTTTTATATGTTGTAGAATTTTGCCATGGTGGGAAGATTGGACATTCTGTAAAGGTTTGATAAAAGCAAACGATTCTATGTGGATGAAAATGCTGGATATATATAAAAAGAAATATAATAAAAAAATTTTAGAATACTTGACCTGCTCAGAAAATTCTAATATTATTCAAATATATTTAAATAAGATAACGGATAATGTAACACTAAAAATCAATGATAGTGTTAATATTTTCCTTCGTATTATTGCAAAGCATGCAAAAAATATCGAAATATTGAAATATATATTGGAGAATTTCGAAAAAATAAAACCCAGGTTTGATATATACCTCTTTTCAAAACTTATATATAAATTTAGAAAACATTTATATATATATATAAAATATATACGTAACACATTTCCGAGTAATATGTACAGCGCCAAGAAAGCGCTAAAAAAGTGTATAAGCGTTTTGCAAACACTACTGCGCTACTTGGTTTGTTATATACATTTGTTATTTTTTTCTATAGAGAAGTCAATGTGTTTGCGGCATTAACTGTTATTCTTAATCATGGGAATTTTGAAAATCAAGAGAACATGGTAAATTACATACTTTATTCATTTCTTATTAATAGAGCCTTCTAATCCAAAAGTTTCATTCTTAATTTTTAACAGTTCCTGATAAAACAATTTGTAATATACATATAATTAATATATCTTAACCAATAAAAAAAAATATCAGCAAATATGCAAAAAGATATGCGAGCAAAATACTGGGCAGTTTGGCCCAATTAATTTATCTTTCAAGTGTATCCGTATTAATTTCATGTTATTAGATCTTGTTGATATATAGTATTTATTCTTTATCTTGCTCTTTTACATTTCTTACTTTTAACAAAAGTTTCCTTATTGATACATAATTATAAATATGATTTAAATGATAATGAATGTCGAAATAACTTGTTTCAGATTCTAAATAAATTCGTAACATATCTGAAGAAAGAATTAATAATATCAACTATTCAGGTTAAATTAGCCAATCGAAAAAAACGACTTGAAAAGGTATATTTTAAAAATTAAAAAAATATACTTATTTTTAAAATATTCTATTAAAATTATTTATTTC